TATGGAATGTACATAGTATGAATCTAAGAATATTAGAAGTTGTCAGAAATAAAATGATCACTTGAAGACAGATCTCCTAGGCTTGTAGGCATTAATGAGCAGAAATAGACTGGCATTGTCCATTTTTAATTGGACAAGTATATGATGAATTTAGGCAGAAAGCCGAGATACCAGAAAGATCTTTGCTGGGTTTATTGACTATGAAAAGACATCCAACTGTGTGGATCCTGGCAAATTATGAATAACATTGCAGAAATAGAAATTTTAAACATTTATTTATGTTAATGCGGAACCTGTATATGGAGCAAGAGACTGTTCAGGAAAGTTTTGTGTCAGGGCTGCATTCTTTCACCATACTTATTCAATCACTCTGTTGAGCAAATAATCTGAGAAGCTGGAGTATCTGAAAAATAATATAACCTTGGGATTAGAGGACGGTTTTGTTCACAACCTGAGATGTGCAGAAGGCATAACCTTGATTGCTGAAAGCAAGAACATTTGAAGTATTTACTTATAAACATCAAAGACTACAGCCTTTAGTATGGATTACACCTCAACATCTAAACACACACACACACACACACACACACACACACACACACACAGAAATCTTCACAACTGGACCAATAGCAGCATCATGGTAATGGAGAAATAATCAAAGAGCCTCTTTACTTGAAGGTGGAGTCCAGATTCCTGGAAGCTATTGTTGTTGTTCGGTGCCTCCAGTTAGCTCTGACTCATGGCGACCCTGTGCACAACAGAACGAAACACCGCCGGGTCTTGTACCATCCTCACAACTGTTCCTGTGCCTGAGCCCATTGAGGCAGCCACTGGGTCAGTTCTCGTTGAGGGACTTCCTCTTTTTCACTGCCCCTCCACGTTACCAAATACGATGTCTTTCTCGAGGGACTGGTTTCTCCTGATAATATGTCCAACGTATGAAAAACAAAGTCCTGCCCTCCTTGCTTCTAAGGGGCACTTTGGCCTTACTTCTTCCAATTCAGATTGATTGGTCCTTTTAGCAGTCCTTGGTACTTTCAATATTCTTCTCCAGCGCCACAAGAAATCAAAGAATACAGTGCATCAGGCAAATCTGCTGCAAAAGACCTCATTAAAGTGTTAAAAAAAAAAGGCAAAGATGTCACTCTGAGGACTAGGATGAACCGAGGTCTCAAGCCTTCTTATTTTCAGTCCCCGCATATGCAGGCAAGGGCCGAACCAGAGGATGACCAGTGCCTTTGAATAATGGTGTTGGCAAAGAACATTGAACATACCATTCACTGCCAGAAGAATGACTAATCTGTCTGAAAGAAGCTTTGTTAATGTACTTGTTAGAGGGGAGGATGGACAGGTGTTATCGCATGTACTTTGGCCACATTTTCAGGAAGGGCCAGGCCTCGGAGAAGGATTTATGCTTGACAAAGGAAAAGTTCAGGGAAAAGAGGAAGGCCCTCCAAGAGCTGGATTGACGCAGTAGCTGCGACAGTGACTCAAACATAGCTGTGCTTCTTTCTTCGGTACATAGGGTCGCCACGAGCTGAACCGAGCTCCATTGTACCTGACAACAAACGTCTTCACAGCAGCAGATTGCCACGTCTCCCTTTTGCAGAGCAGCTGAGTGTATTCCAACGGTCAGCAGTTCAGTTAGCAGCTGACCACTTAGCCATTGTGCCACCAGGGCTCCTCTGTAGATTAGTATGTTGTAATTATCAAAAGAAATGGGATAGATACATTAAATGTGCCTAAACACACGTATAAATACATTTTGTTTATTCTTCACTTTTCTGTACAATCACCCAGGATTACAAGGCTTTGTCAATGGGGATACAAAGGCAGACAAAGCATCTGCTCTGCCATTAAGAAACATTCAGTGTAGTGCAGGACACAGAGAAATGTGACACAATCGTTTAGCTACTGTGGTGGAAGTCTACATAATGAATGAAATGGAGCGAATACGTAGGTCTGCCTGTGGAGAAGGGAAGTAAGCTATTTTTGGTCTTGTACTTAAAACGTAAGAAAATATTTTTCAAGTTTACTGGGTTGTAGGAAATAGACAGGATGGATGGAGCATTTTAAGTGGGAAATGTGGCTTAAACAAAGGTACAGAAATAAGAGGAATCTCACTTTAAGTAGTTTATTCTAGCTGACACATATATTAAGTAGTTTATTCTAGCTGAAACATACACGATGCAAACAGGTAACGTTACCGGGGTGGTAGGGAAGGACCAGACCATGGAGAACCTTGAGGAGTCTGGCCTTTGTCTTGAAAGCAGTGAAGAAACGCTGAAGTATCTGAAGTTTGGGAAGCGTGGGTTGTTCCACAATGAGACTTTTGTGCTGAAGTCCCATTATCGAAAGGTCAAGGATAAATTGAGAGACCCAAGACCGGAAACAGAGAGACTAGAGGAATATGGTGAAGCTTGGATAAGACCAGGAGTAAGGAATTCAGGAAAGAGAGGAGAGGACAAATGATAAAGAGGCTGAATTAATATGACTTAATCATTGATTTAATGGGGTGAGGAAAAGGGAGATTTTGGGTCAAACTAAGGATACAAGTAAAAAATATGATTTCTACTTGGGGAAAGAGGTGGGGTGGTAGGGGAAGAAGTTGATCAGCTATTGATATCATCAGACTGAATAAGATTGCTCAATTAATGTGTCTAAAATGAGAAGATGGTCCAGGACATAATAAGAAACATCTGCATTTCGGGCATAAACAGATGAAGGAAAGCAGATAGATAGAAAATGTTTTCAGAGAAGCCAAAAAAAAAAAATAGAGAATTTCAAGAAGGATGATGAATAGAAATAGCAACTTTTATTTTTTTAATCTGGCTATGAACAGGAAAAGAGAAGGTTCTTATTAAAAGGATCCATAAAGTTGTAAAGGAACATTATTTTAAGGATTTAGTCACTTGACTATGTTATGTCAAGTGGAGAAGGGAGCCCTCGGAGAAGGAAAGGTCAGGAAACGATGACCGAGAGAGGGAGGATAACCCATAGAGAAAGGGCTCCCACGAAGTGGAAGGCACGGGGGATGAAATAGAGGTGAAGGGATTCACGACCAGACTGGGAACAGTTTAACAAAGCGGTGCGGGGGTGGTGAGCCGGGAGGAAAGGTTGGGTTCCTCCCAAATTTGGGTTCCTCCCAATTTGAAGAATGGGTATAATGGGAGTAATGTAATAGAATGCAAAGAATTAGAAATTGGGCCGTAGTTCCAATCAATTTCAAAATTTTGAAGAGGAATATAGTTCTGGATAATGGGGGGAATCTTAAAAAATAAAAAATAAATCTTAAATCTTAAGATTTAAGAATCTTAAAAAAATAAATTTATTGGGGTCAAGAAAGTCAAGAAGGATTCAGAAGAAACATCAGTCCATTCATGTGGAAATAAGCCCATGCAACCCCTGTGAAAGGGTTGTTTGACCCCCAAAGGTGTCAAGATCCCGGGTGGAAAATGCTGTTAGGAGGTTGCGTTCAGAAATAAGTCCTAAAATAAATAAAAATAAACACTGTCTACACTCACATAAAAAAAAAAAGAAGCCCATGATAGTGATAAGATTTGGGATCCCCTTGTTATCATTAAAACTTCCGGGAATTCCCTCGAAGTTTCCTTTTTTAAATTTTCCCTCTAAGTGGCCTACAAACTGGGGACTAATTTAATTAAGCATCAAATTCCATCAAATAGTAACAAATTTCATTCTCAGGTTATAATGTTGTTTGCAATACACACCAGAGGACTTTCTGATTCAGCATTAGGTAAAAATGATAATGTTAAAAACTAAAGATAATTTTTTTGCTATAGAGATGTTTGAATTTATTTTATTAGACTGAGATAAATAGTCTGCCATAAAGTTATCATAGCCACTGTTTCTCTTTTTAGCATCCCAATGTGTTTGTTGGTTAACCAACATCTTAATCTCCTTGCAAGAAAGTTTCCAGAAACGAAATTTGTTAAAGCCATTGTGAATAGCTGTATTCAACATTACCATGACAACTGCTTACCAACAATTTTTGTTTATAAAAATGGTCAGATAGAAGGCAAATTCATTGGAATTATGGAATGTGGAGGGATAAATCTCAAACTAGAAGGTAATATTATTTTTAATTGTTTATGAAAATAACATGGGAAAGCTTCTACAAATTATATCATGTATACAGATATTATGAAAGTTTATTTCCTTAAAATATTAAGTTGTCTTCTTATACTTTGTCTTTTTGTATACACTCACAAATTAATTTTCCTATAATAGTACTCTTCTATAAAAATCCTAATGGCTTCCTATTTCTAATAAGGTAAAAATTGTCTTCTGCTTCGGAGTTTGATCCAACCTATGCAACAATATTTCTCAATATTTCCTGGTCTTCAGCCACGACCTCCAAATGCTCTTTCCTTATTTGGACCATTCAACTTTATGTGTGTCTTTCTTAGTACCTACACTACCCTCCTCTCTTTTATTCTCTCTGTCCACACTATATTTTGAGGGGGGAGGTGGTTATCCTCAATTCCTTTATGTTCCATTATGTAATCCTGGCCCAACTGTGTTCTTCTCTATTGAATTCCAATAGTACATATATTTTGTCTAGACTTTATTATTTACTCACTTGCTATCTAATGCTATTGATTAATCAATTCCCTTTGAGCCTTATCTCCCTAACAAGTAGAAGGACCATGTATCTTACCATTTTCTTTCATAGCATTTGGAACAGGACTTTATACTTATTCCTAACTGCAAACCAGAGCAAAACCAAATTCATTGTCACTAAGTTAATCTTGCCTCAGAGTGACCTTGTGGGACAGAGTCGAATTGGCCTGGAGGGCTCACCATCTGTGAAAGCAAAATGCCACATCTTTCTCCCACAAAGTGGCGATTGGTTTTGAACCTCCAATTACTCAGTTACTAGCCAAGCATTTTAGCCACTGCACCACTACAGCTCCTCTGTCCCTAACCAGGTAGCAACTTCCTCCTAAATTCACCGTTGATTCATTTGATTGAGTTTTAGGAAAGAATGGTTGTTATCAAAGATATTTTTGACACTCTTATTCTTCCAACCTGTTTTTGGACTTCCTGAGACTTCTCGTACTTTCGTTGTCCCAGAATACTGTCCTCTTTCCCTTTCAGTCTCCTAATGCCCCTCCTGTTTCCAGCACCTGATTTTCCCATCTTGGGTCTCATCCTTTTATTTAAAAGTTAATGCATGAATGTGAAGAAAAATATAGCAAAAAAATAACAAGTGTGAAAAAACTGGATACATTTACTCACTGTGGCTTCTGCTCTTTGTTTGCTGCTTTTGAAATAAACTGTATAGATAGGATTGAAGTTATTTATATTTTTGTTCCTAACCTCATCTCCAACCCCACTTCCCTAGAGGCAATTATGACCATTAATTTAGTGCATTTCTGCTCCATATTTTTATGCTTTAGCAACACATAATATACTTAAAATAAATGTATTGTACATTGGAAGCTAATCAATAAATGGGATGATAGTGTATCCCATTGAAACCTGTTTAACAACATTGTTTTCACGTAAATCATACTGTTATTCTAAAAGCTATCTAGTATTTTCTCATCCGCAAGTTATATCACAATTTGTTTGCGTTTTTCCTACTGATAGAAATTTGAGTTGTTTCCAGTTTTCAAATTATAAGATAATTGCCTTTGAACATCTTTGTGTCTATTTCTGAAATTTCATTCAGAAAATATAGGGACTTGTGAAATCATACAGATATGCTTTCAGTGTCCCTAGATATTGCCAAATTGCTCTCTAAATTGACCATACATTTATTCTTCCCACCAGCAGTCTATAAGAATTCCACTGACCCACATCCTCACCCAATATCCATATTGTTAAACTCTTTCTTTTCTTGTGCCAATCTGATGATATGAAATGGTACCTTGTGGTTGTTTAAATTTGCATCTCCATGATTACTTTTTTTCTTCTATACTAGTTTTTCTGATTGCCTCTAATTGTTCATAAACTTTGCCCATTTTCAGTTGTTTTGTTTTTGATTTATTAGAGAGTATGCATGCTATGAATTGAATTGTATCCTCCCTGCCCCTCCCAAATGTGTCAGTGTAGCTAGGCCATGATTCTCAGTGTTATGTGATTATCTTCCATGTTGTTATCTGATGTGATTATCCTATGCATTGTGAATCCTCACCTATATGATGTTAATGAGGCAAGATGTGAGGCAATTATATTAATGAGGCAGGATGCAATCCACAAAATTGGGTTGTATCTTGAGTCAATGTCTTTTGAGATTAAAAAAAGAGATTGAGATTAAAAAGTGAACCGCGATCAGAAGGAGCTACCACCACCAAAAAGAAGAGCCTGGAGTGGAATGCATCCTTGGACCTGGGCGGTCCCTGTGCTGAGAAACTCCAGACACAGAGGACCGCAGTTGACAAGGTCCTTTCCCAGACCTAACAGAGAGGGAAAGCCTCTCCCTAGAGCTAGTACCCTGAATTGGAACTGCTAGTCTCTTGAACTATGATAGAATAAATTTGTTTAAGTTATTCACTGGTAGAATTTCTGTTACAATTAGATAAGAATGTATTTTTTTAATTCTAGATATTAATCTTATATGTATTGCTAATCTGTTCTCACCCACTGTGACTTAGTTTCAGTTGTCACATGGTTTAAAAATTGGCCCAGTTAAATGTTGTATTACTTTTAGTTTATTTTGTACTTTCTTGAAAATTGGAAGGAGAAAAAAAAACTGTCTCTGTTCCCAAGGTGAAAAAGATCTTCTTCTAGATATGTCTATTTTGAAGTTTCCCCCCAACCCCAACTTGGTCTTGAATGACATTGGGTTGACTTTTGTGTGTGATATTGTGTGTGAGATATGTATATCATTGAGGTTTTACTTGTTTCTTGTATTTGTTGACCATATGAATATCCTCCATGGTAAAATGTCTATGCAGTCCTTTGCCCATTTTTTTTTTAAACTGGGACTGTTGTTTTTTGTTTAGTTATAGAAGTTTGGGCTCTATTTTAGATAATATACTCTTATTGAATATATGGTTCCTCGAAATGTTCTTTTATCTGTGGGTTGTTTTTTCACTTTTTTATTATAAATCCTTTGAGGAATGAAAGCATTTAGTTTTTGCGAACACCCCATGAAATTCTTTATGCTGGTTAATTTCTTTGTCTTGTAGCCAGTTTTGCATGAGATGTGTCTATTGGGCTCTTCAGAGAGCCATCTTTCTGTTCTCTTCTGTCAGCCCTACTGGCCTTGCATGGTGGCACTGTGCGTAAGACACTGGACTCCTAACCAAAAGATTGGCAGTTCAAATCCAGCAGGCATTCCATGGATGAAAGATGAAGCTATCTGCTCCCAGAAAGAGCTACAGTCTCAGAAACCCTAAATTGGGCTGGAATCAACTCAGTGGCAGTGGGCTTGGGTTGTTGGTTCTTTAGCTTTGTTAGTTTTCTCTTCGCTAAAATCCTTGTGCTTTCCTTGGTTTTACTTTGTTTTTTTCCTAGCTTCTTGACATACACTTTCAGATCATTTAAATGTAATCATTTACAAGTAAGTTTAGCCATATTTTCCCCTTTAGCTACACTCCATGTGTATTTTATTATATACTACTATGGTTATCCTCCAGTACTAACTATGTCATTAACTTCCACATTCATTTATGCATCAGTTTCCATTTCACATAGATAAGAAAATCTTTTAAAATTCTTCCAATATTTTGTCCAATTTAACAATTGGTTATTTATTTCAGAACTTGAATGGAAGCTAGCAGAAGTTGGAGCAATACAGACTGATTTGGAAGAAAACCCCAAAAAATGCATTGTAGATGTGATGGTATCTTCAATTAGAAACACCTCTATTTATGATGATAGTAACAGTTCAAACAGTGATAACGATACACTATAGAAACCATTAATAAATGACTTTAAAGAACTTATATGCTGTTTTGTTTGCCTTCATATTCACAGATCAGAAAGTGTTTAAATTGGTGTGTTTTCATTTTTATTTTGGAATTATAGCTTACGTCATTTCAAAAGCTTTCAAGTATTTCAGAATATTCATGGCCACCAACAAAATCAGAATTTGTACTTAATATTTTTTTCTGATCCATATTATGCTAAAATAAAATATTATGGATCCATGAGTTGCTTAGTCATTTCCAAAGAAACTTGTGAATGAAAGTAACACAGAACCATGAAGTTTTAGTTTATATAAATCTACCAATTGTTGTGTAAAAATATGTTAAATTAAATGTATGACCACAATATGCTTTTTCTTTGAAGCCTCTTACCTATTAAAATTTAACTGCTCAATAAAAATGTAATTAAAAGCATGTGAAAAGTACAAAAGAAACGTCTTTCATTAATCATTATTCTTAGTTATTAAATTAGGAAACTATTAAGTAGTCTCACACCTAACTTCCAAATCATGGGAGGAAAATATAGTATTTTGGAGTGTATCTTAGTCCCTGGTAATGCAAATGGCTAACACTCTGCTAATTGAACAGTTAGAGGCTTGCATTTCCCCAGAGGTATCTTGTAAGCAAGGTCTGGGGTTCTGCTTCTGAAAAATCCACCATTGAAAACTCAATGGAACACAATTTTACTCTGCTACACATTGAGTCAGCTTTGACTCAATGGCACGGACACTGGTATGTCTTAACAGTAATCACAGAAGCATGCAGAATGAAGAAACAAAATATTAGGGTGCTGCACAAGACTTGCATGGTGCCTTATCTTGGCTTAGTAATGGACATTACTTGTAGAGAAAAGGATTTGGTGGCAAATCTAACACATGGTAGTTCATTTACAGATTTTATTCTCATACTTTGTCTCTATTGACTACCCATAATTCTGAATATGATTAATCTGTGTTTGTGTGAATATCAGGGTGAGTAAAAAAATATTGCTATTCTGCTTGATGTGCTTGAACTATGGAATGATATGATATATATGTCAATTTTTTTAAAGTATTGCCACTAGAGTTCCACTTCATAGATGCACAGGTTTAATCCAAATAAAATGTGTCTAATCATGTCTCTTTGATTAGTGGATGACTGCAGGCCAGTTCTCATAATCCACTTATCTTAGTCTTGTTGTGGTGCCTTGAAAAAAAAGGTCCAATTAAAATAGTATCTTCTGGGGGAATTTCCTGGGACAGTAAATTAATTCAAGGCAGAAAGCTCAGCTCAGAAGGTTATGGTGGCTGAGGGGACTCCACAGGGGAATTCTTGATGGGTTTTCTCAAAGCATGCAGTACAATCATGAAGGATTACTAGGAAGAAGTTCGTTATAAGGAAATTAAAACTGCATTTGTTATGAAAAAAAAAAGTCCTGTAAAGTTGCACTGAGGCGTTTTTCCTCAGCATGACAATGCATCTGCTTATGCTTCAAGGGCAACAAGAGCTGTCCTGTGAGGATTGCATTGAGAATTTTATCCATTCTCCCTACAACCCTGATCTTGCCCCTTTAGATTTCTTTTTGTTTCAAACATCGAAGTACTTTTAAAAGGAAAACAATTTGAGCCCATCAAGGATGACAAAATTAGTTTTGATGTGGTGTAAGGTAAAGAATGCACAATTTTCAGAAAAGGGTTAGATAGAAAGAAAACCAGCATTCATAAGAACAATGATTCAGTACATCAATGGAAATTTGAAGATATTATCATATTTTGCTTCAGTATTTACTACAGTTTTAAGAGTATTTTACTTTAAATTAATTGCCTTTTCTGTATATGACAGAAAGTGCATTATATAGATTTTTCAGAATGCTCATAGGTTAGTTATATTACCTAAAAATTCCATTTCATGATAAAAGTGGATGTAATGTCCTATTGTAATGCAATATGTGCTATTGAAAAGAAGCAATGAGGCTAATAGAAAAAAGAAAGAAAAGAAAACCGGCATTCAGAAATGCACAGCCCTAAATGGAGAATATGTCTAGAAATACTAACTCCACATTTTGATATTTTTGTGTGATGAAGGTTTCTATGACTTTATAGCAATATTTTTCAACTTGAACTTATATTCAGCTTAAATGGTAGTATTTCTGTGTTAGGCAGTGTTCTCTAGAGAAACAAAATCAGGAGGGCACTTATGATTAGATAGATAGATACATTTATATAGTGAGAAGGAATATAACAGCTAATTAGTCCACTTAATAGTACAGAGGGCAAAGTTCAACTCACTTTTGTGAAACAGTTAATATACTAAAGGTCCTTCAAGTCCAAGGTCAAGGAAGCAGACAGCAGGATCTGCCCTCAGGCCGGACAAGCAGCTTCTGCGCAGGCAGATGTGCAAGCAGATGGCAGGGTGGGGCAGCAACAGTCAGTAGCTCCGGAGCATAGGAAAGCAGGCTCAGATAGCGTCTCAAGCTCTAGGAGTCAGGGCAAGGAGATATGATCCATGGGTTGGCTCGGCCCACAGATAAGTGCAGCACCTGGTTGAAGCAAAGGACTAGCTCAAGCAGCAGCACGCTGGTCCAAGCACCAGGAATAGAGACAGGAGGCTCAGAAAGCATTTATCTCGGGAGCCCTCCAGTCAAGCTGCAACCTGGTTAAACTCCACCCACATGTTCCTATGAAGGCCTTGGCAGAATTAACCTAACTATCACTTATTAAAAATAAGTTCAAAAGAATAAGGTAGTTTAGCATGGAGTCGAAAAAGGCTCTTTGTTATTATGGAGTAGGAATGTTAGTGGTCATATTAGGCTGTAGAGAAGGAGGGTGTGACAGAAAGCTAAAGGCTTGAGTGAAGTAATGATAAAAATTTAAGGCCAACAATGATAATTTATCATACCATAGAATATACAATCAAATACTCTAACATTGGAAAGAATTAGAAAGACTCCATCCTCCAGAAATAGTAAAGAAGGATTTGTAAACACATAAATTTTAGAACTGTTATTGTTAGGTGCCATCTCATTGATTTCTCACCCATCACAAACTTGTGCACAACAGAATGAAACACTGCCTGGTCCTGCACCATCCTCACAAATGCTCCTGTGCTTGAGCCCACTGTTGGAACCACTGTGTCAATCCAACATGCTGAGGGTCTTCTTTTTTGAAGTCCTGCTACTTTACCAAGCATGATGGGATTGGTCACTCCTTATAACATGTCCAAAGTATGTGAGATGAAATCTTGCCATCCTTGCTTCTAAGGAACATTCTGGTCATACTTCATCCAAGATAGATGTGTTTGTGCTTCTGGCTGTCCATGGTACTTTCAGTATTCTTCACTAGTACCACAATTCAAAATCATCAGCTCTTCTTTGGTCTTCCTTTTTCAATGTTCAACTTCTACCTGCATTTAAGACAAATGAAAAATACTGTGGGTTAGGTGCACCTTAGTCTGCAAAGTAACATGTTTGCTTTTCGACACCTTGTGAAGCATATTTACCTAAAGCAGCCCATCCTTTGATCTCTTGACTTACTTCCATAAGCACTGATGGTGAATCCAAACAAGCTGAAATCCTTGACTTCAATCTTTTCTCCATTTAGCATGTTACTTACTGGTCCAGTTGTGAGGATTTAAGTTTTCTTTACATTGAATTGTAATCCACATTGAAGGTTGCAATCCTAGATCTTCATCAGCAAGCGCTTCCAGTCTTCCTCACTTTCAGCAAACAAGGTTGAGTCATCTGCATAATTCAGGTTGTTAATAACCTTCCTCCACTCCTAATCCCACATTCTTTTTCATATAATTCAGTTTCTCTGATGATTTGCTCAGCGTACAAATTGAATAAGAATGCAATCCTGATGCATACCTTTTCTGATTTCAAACCATGCAGTATTCTCTTGTTCTGTTCACACAACTGCCTCTTGATCCACATATAGATTCTGCATGAGCACAATGAAGTGTTCTGGGATTCACATTCTTCCTATGGACATCCTTAGATTGTTACAGTCCACACAGTCGAATCCTTGGCAGAGTCAATAAAATACAAGTAAACATCTTTCTTTTATTTTCTATTTTAAGCCAAGCTCCATTTGACAATAGAAATTAGATCCTTTGTTCCAAATCCTCTTCTGAATCCAGCCTGGATGTCAGGCAGCTCCCTGTCAATGGACTGCTCCAGCCATTGTTGGTTAATTCTCAGCAAAATTTTACTTGCTTGTTTTATTGATGATCTTGTTCTATAATTTCAGCATTCTGATGAGTCACCTTTCTTTGAAATGGGTACAAATATGGATCTCTTCCAGTCATTGGTCAGGTAGCTGTGTCCCAAATTTCTTGGCATAGACAAGTGAGTGCTTCCATTGCTTCATCAACTGGTTGAAATATTTCGATTGTTATTCCATCAATTCCTGGAACCTTGTGTTGGCTAATGCCTCCAATGCAGCTTGAACTTCCTCCTTCAGTATCATTAGTTCTTAATCATATGCTACCTCTTGAAATGGTTGCCTGTAGACCAGTTCTCTTTGGTACAGTAACTTTATGTATTATTTTTATCATCTTTGTATGCTTCCTACATTATTCACTATTTGGGCTATAGAACTGGCCATCTTCCAATATTGCAACTTGAGGCTTGATTTTTTTCCAAGTTCCAATCATTAATAGATATTTGTGGCTGTTTTTTTTCATTTTAAGTTATGACCCATCAGCAAATGAAGGCCCCAAAGGCTATACTGTATCCACATCATTATGGTCAACTCTATTTGAGAAGGCAGATCTTCCTTGGTCATCTTTTAAGTGCCTTCTGACCTGAGGGCCTCCTCTTCTGACATTATCTCTGACAATGTTCTGCTTCCATCCATTAGATTTTTCAGTATCTGACAATGTTTCGATGCTATCCATAAGTTTTTCAGTGGCTAATTCTTCTAAATTTGGACAACTTATTCCTTCTGTTGATACTCTGAAAGCTCTGTTGAAACCTGTTTACTTTGGGTAGCCCTGCTGGTGAAAATAC